AAGATTTGACTCTAGAATTTAGGACGCTATATTAAACCTACTCTAAAAATCACGTAGTTGGTTGATTTAGTGAATATATATATATATATATATATCAACTCATTTTTTTTCTTAGATTATTTGTTTAAACATCTAATATATTCTACCTGCTTAATAGTTATAAGGCTTATAAAAAAGATGTTTTTCTAGTACCATAGATGTGGGCAGGACGGATTTACTAAGAGTTGAGGGGCTGAAGTTTTTAGTAACTAGTATTAGTACTTAAAATTAAACCTAGTTCAATTGTCACACCCTCAACGTTCTTCTCTAGTAAATTACCAAGTTTTGGAAATTCGATTATTATATTCTTTTATATAATTTTTAACTTAAATTCTGCTGCGTTTAAATAAATTGACAATTTGAAGATTAATTATCTAATTTATATTTTACCCCTAAATAAAAATTCTGAATCAACCTGGATATAAAAAAAAATTAAAGATCCTATTTCAAGAGAATAAATAAATATTTTTTTACTATGGAATCATATGTTCATATTATCATAAAAAATGTAACCATGAAGCCGAATAGTAAAAATACAAGAACTAAGAAGTGAAAATCAGGGACTCGTTTTTAGAATTTTAATTTAGAGTTACATTTTTAACTTATATCAATTGGCCTCCATTATTTTAGAAGCTCCATTGTTGTCCCATCATTCAATTAAAAATTATCAAACGTCACTCAAATAAGTGAAAGTTATAGAAATTTAACCGGAAGAAAAGGGCAAACAGTTGAACCAAATAAAGTGATACGATTTTTCAAAGAGATTATACGTCTTTACTATATATTTTGAGCCCAAAGTCTTTCAAAGGCAAAGTCTCGTTGTTGGCTTTCTCTTCACTTCTTGCACTTGTAATTTTACCGTCAATGAACTAACGGGTCATACTCTAAGAAACAACATTAGTTAATTTGGTTAGAGGATCTATTATGGGCTAATGATGTTGTCACCAAAGATGCATATTTCCTTGAATTTCTTTTATCCATTTGTACTAAAAAAAACTATTAACGCGTTTTATTGATGTAGGAATTTGGTTTCAGTATCCAACATGATAACTACAACGAATGCTTGCACACAAAGAGAATTGCAAACTAGTGTGATGCTAAGCCTAAGACATTCTGATGCCTAAATAAACATAGAGTTTAATTGAGAGTAGCGAGAATAGAGTTGTGAGAGCATACTTTGTGCCTTAGGTCTCCTCTCTGGTTTATAAAGGGTTATTTCGGTCAATTCGGATGGATCAACTTGACCGAATTCGATCAACTCTGGTCTGATATGATCGGATGGTCCGTCTTAAGTAACTTGATGGTATAATTTTAGTCATAACACACATCATGCCTAATGAAAACCAACATTTAAGAGAGAGATTCTTGATTGGAAGTGTAAATTTAAATTTGTACTTTAATTTCAATAATTAACGATGACTTACTTGTGGAGACATAATAATTTTTAACTTAGTTTAAAAGGAATTGAATGCTTATTTAATAGTTTAGAATTTCTTTATGAATTTTTTAATCTTTTAATTATTTTATATTTATTCACATTCCCATTTTATCAATATTAAAAAAAATGGCCACAGAAAAAACTCAATGATAACTCTTACGGATTAATGTTGTGAATTGAAACATAACTCAATAATTAAACAAGTTATGAATTATGATTCGAATTATCCCGACATTTAGATTATGAAAAGTAAGTTTGATGGTGCAAATTAAAACCAAATTTCAACTTTTTATTATTTTAGGAAAGATTTTCCACAAAATAATATATTTTTAAGTTTCCAAGTAAAAAAAGCAGAGCCAAATTTTCGAAGTTAGTTGGGCAAAAAGAGAGACTTCTTTCAAAATATGAGCACAGAGCCACGAGTCAATGGCCGCCTACTTGATTTCTTCTCTTCTTCTCTTCTTCTCCATTGGCGTTTATTACCCTCCCAGTCCAGTGGCCTTTTAACGCACCCATTTCTTCTCCCGGCAAATCAAAGCAAACCCCAAATACAAAAATGGCAGATATTCGAATTCCTCCTCTGATTTCTCTCATACCAACAACTCTGTTTCTACTTTCTTCTCTGGCTATGGCCGTCGATTTCTTGATACCTCCTCAAAACCTCACCAATGGCGCCACGTTGGTCTCGGAGAAGTCGATTTTCGAACTGGGTTTCTTCCGCCCTGGAAATTCCACCGGATTTTATCTAGGGATTTGGTACAAAATCATCCCGACTCACACAATCGTCTGGGTCGCCAACAGAGAGAGCCCCATCAACGATTCTTCGGCGGTTTTGAAGATAAACTCCACAGCCAGTTCTCTCGCTCTGACCCAGAACGGCGTCGTTGTCTGGTCATCGAAGCCGTTGAGGGCAGTGGAGAATCCCAAGCTCCAGCTCTTGGACAATGGAAATCTGGTTCTGAAAGACGCGGATTCAGGGGAGATTTCGTGGCAGAGCTTCGATTACCCGACGGACACGTTACTCCCCGGAATGAAACTGGGGTGGGATTTCAGAACAGGGATCCACCGGTGGCTATCGTCGTGGAGAAACTCCAACGACCCATCTCCGGGGAATTTCACGTTGGAAATGATGAAAACCGCGTACCCAGAACCGGTGATGTGGAACGGGTCGAAGGAGTTCATGAGGAGCGGGCCGTGGAACGGCCTTCAATTCAGCGCGAAACCCACATCGGCTCTCCCGATTTTGGTTTACCACTACGAGAATTCCAAAAACGAGCTCTCTTACAGCTACAACCTCATAAACTCGTCGCTAATCGGGAGAATGGTGATGAACGAGACCAAATCTCGGAGGGAGGTTCTGTTGTGGTCGGAATCGGAGAAGAATTGGAAGCTGTACGCGACGATGCCGAGGGATTACTGCGACACGTACGGCCTCTGTGGCGCGTTTGGGAGCTGCGATATTGAGGAAACGCCGGCCTGCCAATGTCTGAAAGGGTTTCGGCCGAGGGTTCAGGAGAAGTGGAATCTGATGGATTATACTGAAGGGTGCGTTCGAAATCGGCCGCTGAATTGCTCTGATGAAACTGGGTTCGCCATCTTTCCGGGGCTGAAATTGCCGGATACCAAACTTTCTTGGGTCAATGAGAGTATGAGCTTGACTGAGTGCAGAGAGAAATGTATGAGGAACTGTTCTTGTGTGGCTTTTGCGAATACTGATATTAGGGGATCGGGAAGTGGCTGTGCGATTTGGATTGGTGAGCTTATTGATATTAAAGTGGTTCACAGAGGGGGGCAGGATTTGTATGTTAGAATGCTGGCTTCTGAATTGGGTATGTGCTTTTTCTTCTTTCTTTCTTTCTTTCTTTATTTCTTTCTATCTTTCTTGTTGTCTTATGGTTTTCTTGTTTCTTGAATGAAGAGACTAAGAAGACGAGTTCGGTTGTCGTCGGGGTTATCATCGGAGCGGCAGTTCTTGCGATCGCGGGGCTGGTTTTGGTTGGGTTCTACCTTATCAGGAGCAGGAGAAGAAGCTTGGAAGGTAAGAATGTTGGCAATACAAGTATGATGAAATTACTTTCTTTGATTTGCTTTGAAGTTTATGGGCTGAGAAATCAAAATCATATTGGCAACAGGAACAGGCAAGGACCTTGAAGGGCAGGATGAGGACTTGGAGCTCCCATTGTTCGACTTAACAACCATATCGAGTGCCACGGACAATTTTTCGAACTCGAACAAGCTCGGAGAAGGCGGGTTCGGCGCAGTCTTTCGGGTAAAATGAAATGCTTATACACGTAGTGAAAATGGGGATGATAAATTCATGATGTTGTGTAGAGTTGAGGAGAAATTTTTGGCAATGAACTTTTCAGGGTAGGCTTGTAGATGGACAAGAGATTGCAGTGAAGAGGCTTTCTAGCTATTCGAGACAAGGAACAGAGGAGTTCAAGAATGAAGTGATACTGATAGCCAAACTTCAGCATCGAAATCTTGTGAAGCTTTTAGGTTGCTGCATCCAAGGGGAGGAGAAGATGTTGATTTATGAGTACATGCCTAATAAGAGCTTGGACTCCTTCATATTTGATTCGGGTAGAAAGAAACTCTTAGATTGGAAGAAACGATTCAATATCATATGCGGAGTAGCGAGAGGAATTCTTTATCTTCATCAAGATTCAAGATTGAGGATCATACATAGGGATCTGAAAGCAAGCAACGTGTTGCTTGATATTGACATGAACCCGAAAATCTCGGATTTTGGAATGGCTAGAACTTTTGGGGGCGATCAGACAGAAGGAAATACTAGAAGAGTGGTTGGAACATAGTAAGTTTTTCATCTACAAAACCTCGATATTTATTAATATTATTATTGTTGTGGTTGTAAATTCATGAGTCCTGTGTTTTGATGATATCTTGTAGTGGGTACATGGCACCAGAATATGCGATCGATGGACAATTTTCAATAAAATCCGATGTCTTTAGTTTCGGTATTTTATTGTTGGAGATCATAAGTGGCGAGAAGAATAGAGGATTCTTTCGTCCCAACTCTACTCTCAACCTTATTGGACATGTAAGTAATTACATACTTTTCACTTTGCAATAATCTTGAGCTGAATAGTGTTAAATCATCATTCAACTCGACATTTGTGAGCTTGAACATTTGCACAAGGTCCACATATTACTGGAGTTCGAACATAGAACTTCTTATTCTGGTATCACGTTAAAATTACCAATCAAACCAAAAACTTAACTTAAGTTGACAGCTTACGGTAAATTTAATTGTTTAAAGACACCTTAACAGATAGTGCGATTTTCATGTTTAGGCATGGAATTTATGGAACGAAGGCAAACCACTGGAGTTGATTGACGCAAGCATTGGAGAGTCGTATGCTCTATCTGAAGTGTTGCGGTGCATCCATGTGAGCCTTTTGTGCTTGCAGCAACATCCCGAGGCTAGACCGACCATGTCGAATGTGGTTCTAATGCTCAGCAGTGAGAGCACCTTGGCGCAGCCCAAACAACCAGGATTCTACATGGAAAGAGATTCTCTTGAACCAGATTCTCATTCGGGTAAGAATGAATCTTCTACCACCAACGAATTAACTATTACCCTCCTCGATGCTAGATAAGTATCTACTTTTTACATGTTGTAATACTCTCTTAATACTTTGAATTTTTCTTAACAATAATACTTCAATGTTGACATCCCATCACTATTATTACATTTTTTTACTAGTTGGAGAGAGAAATGTTGGAAGAGAGATAACTTTTCTAGTAGATCAGCTTGAATGTAGGTGTTCTTCAGTCACCACCCAACATCCAAACATGCGCTCTTCTTCTGGATTGTTCACCTCTTAGCATTTTCATGTAAAGTTAATGTTGCATTTTTTTACTTGGATCTTTTAATAACAAAACTAAAAAGATTTTAGCATCAATAGAAACAATTGTCGATAGCATTCATTTTCAAATGAAGACTCGCCAACTCAGACGTAATTTAATTAGTTAAAAGTATTAGAGGGTAGTTAGAGATTTGAATTAAAACGAAAAAGAAAAAAACTTAATATATGAATTAATATGGGGTGTTTTTATAATATCTCAAAAAATTAAAGAGAATAAGTTTGGATAACCACTCTGAAAGGAATAATTAAAGTTGTTTTGTTCATTCCAAAATTATAATCTCATTTGAACACACAATAATTTTGTCTATTAAAACAAATAGATCAGTGTACTAATGTCATTATCTATTAATACACTTGTCAGTAACGTAAGTGCTAGTTGTTTAAAAGAAAAAACCTTGTAAATTATAAATAGTGACTTATTTATTTTAAAATTTTTAAAATTTCATTGAAAAATTAAAATTTTTTTTTCTAAGATTTATGAACTAAATAAATAAATACATCTCAAAGTGGTGCAGTAGCAAGCGCTCTAAGTATCAAAGTTTTGAGTTCAAATTTGGTATTTATAACTGTATTGCTCAATTAAGACAATAAATTTCGGTTATAAGAATATATAATGTAAGCCACAATATGGATTTTGAAAAATAAAAAAACAAACTAATTAAATAAATACAAACCTTAAATTTCAGGGTTAAATTTGTAATTCAAACACCCTTTAAATGAAAACTAGAATTCTTACCTCCAATTAAATGCATTTCATTAATTGTCGAAAAAAGACAAAAAGAAAAAAAAAATCTTTTGGCACTTCATAATCGCAAGTACGTTGTCCACAATTCTACAATAAATGGTTGCCATCCAACTTAATGAAGTCACTTTGGAAGTTTCCTTTCTTTAATTTATTATTTACGTGGATTCCAAATGGAGTGAGATAAATATTTTCAGTATTTTTTTAGTACAACAAGTAAGGTGGATGGTGAATGATTCAAATTCATGACATTTGATGAGAGATTGATACCAATTATTGTTGGGTTAAACTCATGTTTGGCATAAATATTTTCAGTATTACTACTTTTTTACAATCCTACATTATAAACAATAGAGAGAATTCAAACTATAACGTATAAAAACAGATATTATCTTATCATTTAAATATATACTTACAACTAAACTAGTGGCATATTAAAAAAGACTGCGCTGGTGTTTTATTTTTATGTTCGTATTTATTTTCTATCAAAAGAAATATATATATACTTACAATTTACAGTATTATTGTTGACGTCAATTGTTTCTTTTTATTTTTTTTATCACATTTTAAGTTTTAAAATAATAATATAACTATTGACCCGAATATAGTTCAATTGGTTAAAATATTTATTTGCGATCATTTACGCATATCATATTGTAATTTTAAAAAATAATAAAAATAAGAATACAACTCCTATTTTCCATGGTGGCTTCTAATTTTGGGAATATTCTTAAATAAAATAATAGGCTAGGGCTAAGGCTAGAGCATCCACTTGAAAATCCAAATACTTGAGTTAAGTTGAATTAAGTAAGTATTATTTAGATTAAGACGAGTGGGACTGTACTAAGCTCCTTTTTATAATTTGAGCTTGTTCTTAATTCACTTAATTTTCCTTTTTTTAGTACCACTTTTAAATGAATTTTAATTATAAGGAGCCAATAGAACTTAATTAATGAAAAATAAATTTAGAATTATATGTGAAAGTTAAATTTAACAAAACCGAAAAGAAAAAACAGCAAAATCCCATTTCTATTATTTTCTGTTTTGATTTTTTCTTCAGTTATCCAATCAAATAAATTTCTCACTGCCTTTTATGAATAGAAGGTAAAAAAAATTTTGTGGCGTATATCAAGTTGATAGACCTAAATATTTCTAAACTTTTAATTTCATGTATTATATGTATTTGTCGGGTTAGTTTAACTTTTACGTAGTACACTAATTGTATTAACTAAAAAACAATCCCTTAAAAAACCAAGCAATAATTTTAGTCCTTACTATAATTTTATTACCTAATATACTCAACTAAGGCTGACTCAATTGACCTATGTGATGTCAATACATGCATCCATGCCAACACGTTAATACACATATTAGAAGTTATATTACTTATTTGTTAGAAGAAAAATTAAGATAGATATTATGAAATTTTATAGGTTAAAGTGGAACATCTCTGAAAGTCTGGAATAAAACGAAATTTAAACTTTTTTTAAATACCTAAACAACTCTACTTTATACCACTTTTTTAGACAATTCCAAGATAGCTATTTAACATTATATTTTTAAAATTTAGATTAAATTATAAGTTTAGTTATTGAGTTTTTATTTTTATTTTATTTATTTTGATCTAATAGATCTATTAAAATTCCTCGATCTCGCTTGGTGTGGGGCTTTGTTCGGGGGGCCGCCTTGCGTTATTTTAGAAAGGAGAGAATTTCATAAAGTCACTGGTCCTGCCTAAGGACATATCGGTTGAAGTAGATTCTTCTTTTCAATCGGGTGGAAAACGAATCGACATCTCGATGTGAGACAAAAAAAGTCCAAATTGACTCATTAACTTACGAGGGAATTTTCGGTGGAGCGGTGGAATGCGTAGAGATCGGAAAGAACAACAATGACCATTTCTGAACCTTTCTTTCTCGTCCCACGCCCCCTTTACTAATAAAGGAAAGAAAGTATCGACCAAAACCACATTCCTTTTGCGTGCAGATGTAGCTAAAGTGTCTACGCAGCAGAGCGATGACCCGAGAGCGGATTCTCCACCGGCATGAAGAAATGAGACGGCTATCTCAAGGCACAGCATGACCTACAGGCAACACTGGCGAGACTTGGGAAGGCAACCCAATTGAAAAAGGAAATGTATATCGATACGTTCAATCGAGTCCCGTTTTCTATTCCTCTCACTTAGATTAGGCACAAAATCGTCTATGTGGACCACCAGACATTGCAAAAATGAGGGTATTACTCGCTGGCATGCGAGACGACGTTGCTGAGTATGTGAAGATGTCCTAGACATAGAGGAACCATACCAATTCATCCCGCGTTATAAGTGGAAAAAAAATGAATTTTGTATTTTATGTCTAATAAAATTCCAACGTGTTTAATAATTCTGGAAATTTTAAAAAGTATTAAAAATTAAAAGTGTGCTATTAGACAAAATTTGTATAATAATTGAAAATTAGGACTAAATTTATAATATAAGTTATATAACATTGGTTTAACGACTCGATTCGAACTAAAAATGTACTTTCCACGTTGTCCTCCCTGCTCTCTTCGCCGGCGTACAGAGGAGCATTCCAAATTGCTACATCGTCGGACGTAAAAAAAAAGATAGAAAGAATGAAATAAAGAAGAAAAACAAGAAACAGAGCAGCAGTTTTCATGATTAAGCTTTTCGAATGGAAATTCTCGAGGATTCATTCTCAGCGGCTGCCGGCGACGACCACCACGACGACTCCGCAAACCAAAATCATGCCCGTAGAGGCTCAAATTACTCCGTTCTCACCAATTTGAACCTGAACGTCCCGATTTCCAATCCAGGACGCACTGATTGTGGGACGAGAAGTGGAAGGCCTAGTTTCTGGATGAGTCCTTTCTAACAATGGCGGCAGTCTCAGTTAGGCATCCGACTGCGAGCAATAATCGTTGGTCATTACCTCACCTGGTTCTCATTGCTAAGTTATCAGCGATGACAAACAGTTAGTGCTTCAGCTTTTATTCGCTTTGATTTCACATTGCTATCTCCGTCTTTTCCTAAAGCTCAGGTGAAGTGCCTAATGATTTGTCTTATTTCTTTTGGATTGAGTTGTCGCTGTACTGATTTATTAGTTACTTTTATTGAATCGTTTATTTTAGTTTCTGCTACATATAGTCAAATAGTTCTAGGGACTGTGAAGTGTTTGATGACGAATTTCTGCAAATTCAGTCTATGAACCTCGATTCTTCTGGCTGATGTTTGATTTATGCAGTTTTAGCAGTAGTTCGATTTAAAGTGTTTTGCGGCGATGAAACAATGGTTGCACAATGCTGATTACACTGCTTCTCATTTTTGAGTTTATGTATTTTATATTGTCTCCTTGGTTCTTCCTGCATGGATCACACCTGCTTATGGAATGCCGCGTCAGGAATCGAAAGATGGTATGCTTTTTATATGTTTCGAGGGTAGAAAAGATGATGTGAAACGATGTTGCAGCTCGGTTGCTCTTTCCTGCGCCCTGCAGGAAGAATTCGTGTCACAAGCGTCCGGATTTTGGGAGTTACAGAGGACCAAGTGGCTGAATTATGTTATACCCCAACACTGCAGTTGCTGTTGTTTAAAACTCTAGCTGCTGTTGTTGGTAAGACTTCTAAACTTTGGATTTTGCCTCATGTTACTTTTTTTGTCTTAATGTACGAAGCTTGTTAGTGTAAGGTTTACCTTGCCACGTACTTCGGTATATAGAAAGATCCAGCCGAGGGACATAGACCTTTGTCAAAGGATTTCAATCTTATAAATGTTCTGTGTAACATAGAGCAGTGATGTTTTTGAAGCCCGGTGAATTTTGTTCTTCCGTCTCTCTCTCAAAATTTGAGTTTAGATGAACTCGAGCCCCACTGATTGATGTGATTAGTATAGGTATTAAAGCCACGATATAATGCGTATAATTTGCCTTATTCTTTTTCTCTTTGAATGAAAGGATAGTCTGGTTCCTAGCCATCACTCATGAAAGCAGAAACTTTAGTCCCCTCCTGGTATCATTGTTCTTGTTTAGTAATTATTTCTTAAAATGAAATAACAAATTTGGATTCAATGTTTTGAGATGGTGCAGCCTAATTATTTTATAGGAAATATTTGTCTTCTGAGGATTAAAGAATTTATTTATTTTCAATCTCCTATTTTCTCTTCTTCCTTGGGTTTAGTTTATAAAAGTTATTGAGTAAGATTGCATATTCGCTAATAGTTTATTTGATTTACTGCTTCTGAGTAATAATTTAGTGGTTAAATTTGCTACCTATAATGAAGTTTCAGTCGCAGGCTGCACATGTTGGAACCATAAAGACTTGCAGCAGTTGAAATTGTCAATCATGGGTCCCCTATCATTAATTGTGAAATTTAATTTTACACCTAACAAATGTTCATCATGAACCTAAGAAAAGAATGCGTTGGAGCTAGCAGGGTCCAAATGATCAGACAACCAGTCAAGTTGTTGGCAAACCAAACGGAACCCAATGCAGAATGGCAAATTTTCCTCTGATGTCTATTGTTACGACTGTATTTTTATATTCTTCTTTCAATATCTCTGTGGCTGTTGATTTCTTAACAGCTTCTCAAAACCTCAGTGATGGCAACACCTTGGTCTCTGAAAAAGGATTTTTTGAGCTGGGTTTCTTCAGTCCCGGAAATTCCAAGAACCGTTACTTGGGAATTTGGTACAAAATCATCCCAATTTCCACTGTTGTATGGGTCGCCAACAGAGAAAACCCGCTCAACAATTCTTCTGGTATTTTGAGAATAAATACCACAGCCAATTATATTGTTCTCACCCAGAACAGTACCATTGTTTGGTCAACGAAGTCGTTAAAGCAAGTGGGAAATCCCAGGCTACAGCTCTTGGACAATGGAAATTTAGTCCTGAAAGACGGGAACTCAAGGGAGTTTTTGTGGCAAAGCTTCGATTATCCAACTGATACATTGTTGCCAGGAATGAAGCTAGGATGGGATTTTAAGAACGGCATAAACAGAAGATTATCAGCTTGGAAAAACTCAGACGATCCATCTCCTGGAACCTTGAACATGGAAATGGAGAATCATAGCTACCCAGAACCTGCCATGTGGAATGGTACCCAAGAGTTCATGAGAACTGGACCTTGGAATGGGATTCGGTATAGCTCCAAATCTAACTCTGGTCTCCCAATTTTGGTATACCACTATGTGAATAATAAAAATGAGCTTTACTTCAGCTACCAGCTGATTAACAACTCTCTGATTGGAAGAATGGTGTTGAACCAATCAATGTTCAGGAGAGAGGCCATATTGTGGTCAGAAGCTGAGAAAAACTGGAAGGTATACGCCACGATGCCGAGGGATTACTGCGACACATACAACGTTTGTGGTGCCTATGGGAGCTGTAACATTGAGGATATGCCTTCTTGTCAATGTCTAAAAGGGTTTCGGCCAAGGGTCCTGGAGAAATGGAATCTCATGGATTATACAGAAGGGTGTGTCAGAAATAAGCCTCTGAATTGCTCGGATAAAGTTGGCTTTGCAAAGTTCCCGGGACTGAAACTACCTGACACCAGATTGTCCTGGGTTAATGAAAGCATGAGTTTAAGTGAATGCAGGGAAAAATGCTTGAGAAATTGTTCTTGTATGGCGTTTGCCAATACAGATATCAGAGAATCAGGTAGTGGTTGTGCCATTTGGCTTGGTGATCTTATTGATATTAAAGTGGTTCTAAAAGGTGGACAAGACTTGTATGTTCGAGTACTCGCTTCTGAGTTGGGTATGAACCTTATTCTCTGCTATAATTTCTTTGCAGCAGTCAATTTTTATAGTTTTCCTTCCTAGCTCTGTTTCAAGTGTTTGTTTGTTTTTTTTGTTTTTTATTAAATATTAAAATGAAGACAAAAAGGAGGCGAGTTCGGTTGTCATTGGCATTATAGTTTCAGCTGCAGTCCTTATAATTGCCGGCTTGCTTTTGGTTGGATTTTACATTATTAGAAGCAGGAAAAGCCTTGAAGGTAAGATTTGCACCCGAATTGTCTTCATTTTTTTTATGATTACGAAGCTTTCTGTTAGGAATTTTTCCAGCTCCTACTACTGATAACTTACAGGATTGGAAGTGTTAATCAAACTGTAATTTCTAATTCGGGGAGTAAAGATCAACATGATGGACAGTAATGATTTGTGGGATGAGATGGGCAAAGAGCTTCTGGTTTCTTATAAGAAATCTAGTCTGAGTTGTGAGAAGCAGACAAAATGCTTCTAGGAAGTTATAACATTTAGAAACAACATTTTTTTTTCCATCGTTTTGATTGGAAATTTTTATGCATAATTATATCATGAGGTCGCTGAACAAGAATGGGGGCTGTTCCCTGAAAGCTTGCATGTTTTAAATTTCAAGTGTCCTAGATTGCTCGAGGAATAGATTCATGATTATTTGTTTGTATGTCCTTGTTCTAGTTTGATGATTTTAGCTCCCATTGTAGAATGTGAAGCTTCAACCAAGAAGAAATAGATCATAGAACTATATAAATCTGATTAAATCATTTTTGCTTTAATTTACTCTGAGAAATCATAATAAAATTGGGAACAGGTAAGGAATTAGAAGGGCAAGAGGAAGACTTGGATCTCCCATTATTTGACCTTTCAGCAATATCAAATGCCACAGACAATTTTTCAAACTGTAACAAGCTCGGAGAAGGTGGCTTTGGTGCAGTATTTCGGGTAACATTTTGTGTACTAAAGAAAATATTTTGAAAAGAATAATACTTCACTATTGATTGATTAGTAGGAAATTTGATAACTATTTAACTTAAAAAAAAAAAAGAAAAAAAAAATCTCACATATCTTTCCCTTTTTGCATTCCACTCTTATATTGGTAAAAAATACAGTGGTGGTCAGCATGAGACTGTTGACTAGCAAGTAGCTAAGTGTTATTCTTTTGAAAAGGATGATTTTAATATAATGCAATTGATTGAAACTTTGAAAATGAACTTTCAGGGTAGACTCACAGATGGACAAGAAATTGCTGTAAAGAGGCTTTCCAGCTATTCAAAACAAGGGGCCAATGAGTTCAAGAATGAAGTAATACTTATTGCCAAACTTCAGCATCGGAATCTAGTAAAACTTTTGGGTTGCTGCATCCATGAGAAAGAAAGAATGCTGATTTATGAATACATGCCTAATAAGAGCTTGGACTCCTTCATATTTGGTTTGAATATGTGAAAGACTCTGTTACTTCAGTCTTTGATAATTTTCTTTTTAACTAACTTTGGCTCATTATGTTATTGGTCAGATTCTGCTGGAAGGAATCTTTTAGATTGGTCGAAGCGATTCAATATCATATGCGGAATAGCTAGGGGGATTCTTTATCTTCATCAAGATTCTAGATTAAGGATTATACACAGAGATCTGAAACCCAGCAATGTCTTGCTTGATATTGATATGAACCCAAAAATCTCAGATTTTGGAATGGCTAGAACTTTTGGTGGAGATCAAACTGAAGGAAATACTAGGAGAGTGGTTGGAACATAGTAAGTTTCTCTAGAATTTCTCATTCACCTCCACAAAACCTCAAATTTTGTTGATCCATGAGTTTTTTGTTCTACACCTTTTATGGTGTGTCTTACATTACAGTGGGTATATGGCACCAGAGTATGCAATCGATGGACAATTTTCTATAAAGTCGGACGTATTTAGTTTTGGCATTCTATTGTTGGAGATTATAAGTGGACAGAAAAATAGAGGATTTTATTGCTCGGACCATACTCTAAACCTTATTGGACATGTAAGAATACATACCTCAGACTCATTCATTATAAACCATAATCCTCAACTAAATGGTATAGTTTTCCATGTTTAGGCGTGGAAGCTATGGAAAGAAGGAAGGCCACTAGAATTGATCGACCCATCCATTGGAGACTCGTATGCTCTATCTGAAGTACTGCGATGCATCCATATTAGCCTTTTATGCTTGCAACAACATCCTGAGGATAGACCCATCATGTCCAATGTGGTCCTAATGCTAAGTAGTGAGAGTGCCTTAACGCAACCGAAACAACCGGAATTTTATATGGAAAGGGATTCATTTAAAGTAGACTCTCTTTTGAGCAGGAATGAATCTTCTACTACTAATGAATTAACTACTACCGTCTTGGAGGCTAGATAAGTTCCTACTTTTCAGATATTGTACCTAATCTTTGTCAATGTTTTGGATTCTTCTGAATTGTTCTCTCTTTTGTAATTGTAATTGTGTTTAATCCAAGTCTTGAACTCTATAATAACAAGCCTGTTGCGATTGCAATGAGAACGAGGTAAATTTCCTTGAGCTTTCTTAACGAAATAAATTGATAATTAAGGTGACTGCAAATTGTCACTCGATTAGTCTCAACTGTCAAAGGAACTTCTATAATGAATTTATGCTTCTTGTGGGGTTGAGGAAACTGAGGAAATCTATTTTAATTTCTAGCTAGTCACTTCAATTCCTTAGAGGTCGTCATATGCTCCAGCAATTTAACTATTGACCCTACTTGTGCTGCTGTTGTTTTTTCGGTATTGTAATTGGGAAGAGATGAAATAATGTTTGAAGACGAGTTTGATAACATTGAGATGGTTGGACTAGAGTCAGGATTTGTTATTTTGGGGTAGAAATGTCCAAGCTGTAGTTATTGTTCTCTTGTATTGCTAGTTTGTGTAGAAGTTGAAGGTTCTTCCTCGTAACTGTTTTCTTTTTGCTTTGCTTACCCCCTTTTTATCCTCTTACATCTCAATTTTTAGTTATTGGACAAGTGCACCGTTTCTGATCTTTCTATTAGACTATCGACCAAAATTATTTGATCAAATTTTTTTAAGACTTGAAATTGTGTCATCTCTTCTGACCTGATCAATGCTATCCAATCCCTTTCCCCAGTTAATTTGTAGTCAGTCCTTTCGGTGTCCTTATATCTGCCTAAAAGTATGCTGCTGTCTATTTCATTTTCTTTTCATGTTTTTTCATTTCATATGATGAAGCTGTGTTCTTTTTGGACTTCTTGAAAGCTATTGCACCGAAAAATGGTAGAAGTTTCTCCAGACTACCTTATCTTAAATCCCATATCAGTGTTCCATCATTTCAAGATTGATGTTTACATTTTTATGTCATATCACTTGTAATTCTATCTAAAGATAAAGATATTTATTTCGTTCCTATTTAGCAGTCTGACTTGAAATTCCCATTCAACAAGTTTATAATAGCACGTATGTGTGAAGGGATTACTTAGAAAATTGCACATATTGTTGCCATGTCTTATCGGTTCCTGTACTGCATATAGTACATTTGTCCCTTTACATAAACTCGCTTAGTAGTTTGAATTATTTTTTGATCTTTTCTGTACATAGAAGAGCATGCTTCAATTTTTTTTCCTGTTAATTTTCTGTACTCCACCTTATTTTAAAATCTTCATGCATTTGCATTGGATTATCATTTGCTCTGGTCAAGTAGAAGTTATATTTCAACCTCGCCTACACTTCTGTCAAGCTAGATTGTACAATAGGCGTTAAAGGAATGTGATCTCAGCGTCTCACCCGAAGTCTAATATCAGCATGGATGCAAAGAAGCTTACATCTCTTCAGTGGTTCAAGTTGATTGTGCAGGCCTGCGATATTGGCTTCTCTGGGGAATCAAATCATATAAACAGGCTTGAATAAACCTTGTCTTTTTATCTGGCCTAACATGCCTCCATGCAGCTGAAAATGGAGATGCTGCAGGGATTGAGTAAGACGACTTGAATTTTTATTGTTCATCCGTGAGTCTTTTCCTGGAGAAAGAAATATGAAGTTTAAATTCTATCTTTAACATTGGTTGCGCATGGGATGGCAAATGAGAGACATTCAAGTAAAAGCAATTGTGTAAGTTTTGTTATTGGCTTTGCATTTCTCTTATTTCTTTCATTTATTTGTTTTCTTCTTTTTTCACCTTCAGGTTTTCCTCTATATGTAGACGTGAAATACTATTAGTGCAAAAGCTTCCAGTGGAAAGTTTCTGGAAGCTTTTTCATATGCATTGTTTTCCATTCTTACTGGTTTTGGTTTCATGTTGGGCTGCATTAAGGCCCATCCCTCAAGCTGAAACTGTAGTCCTGCTGGTATCCTTGTTCTTCTGTTTAATAATTAATTCTTAGAATGAAATGACAATTTCGGATCCAATACTTTGAGATCGTTCAGCCTAATTTTTTTTCTAGAAAGTTGTCCCCTTTGAGGATTAAAGAAATTTCTCTTTTCAATCTCTCAATTTCTGTTCTCCCTTCGGTTTCTTTATAAGAGTCACCGAGTAAGACTGCATATGCTCTAATAGTCTATTTGATGTCCTGTTTCCGAGCAAGAATTGAACAGTGACAATATTTGCTGCCTATAATGAAGTTTCAGTTGCAAGTTGCACATGTTGGAACTTCAAATTCTTTTTAATATTTAAGCGGCTTCTAGTATTATATGAATATTTATCTTTACCACTGTGATTTGAATATCAGTTTTTACTGCCTTAAATTACATTAAATTTTAATGAGATTCTCACAAGACCAAGTGCGCGAGACAATCCATGCAGGAGGAAAGTAAAGGTCTGTTGTACATTTTTCTTCTGCTTTTATTATGTTAACTTTAATTGGATGATGCAGCCTTTGAAAGGATTTAACATTCAATGCTATTATCAGTTCTTTGACATTCTAGTAGTGGTTTTTGCACACGTTAAAAATTCCTGTCTAGGTACTTGTAATCCTTACCTTCCATCAGATGAACGTATGGACGACTCACTTCACCAAAGAAAGAGCGGTGTGGGGTCATTTCTAAGTTGTGCTTAGGTACATCCACATCTTCATGAGATAAATTAGGGAGAGAGGAGGGAGTGGGGGGGCCAAAAGTAGTATGCTTAGGAAGACATAATTATGCAACCCTTTTTCATTCTTTTATGGGGGTTGACAGTAGAGACATGACACACCACTTTCCTCTCTTTTTAGATGCATTTGAAATGGGGCCAACATTCTCTCTCATACCCCATGTCTGTTTGCAACACCTCACCAACCGTGCACGGTTTCAAATATTTATTGGTCAAACACATTACATTGGAAGAAAAAACATGCTTATATCTCCATGTTCTATAACACTTCCAGGCATACTGGTAATACTGTATCAGCACAGAGAAACACTGTTTTCCAGCATATTTTCTTGTGTACATATTTTTTCAACTGCTGCATGAATATGTTCCCCACCATTACCCCCTCTGTATGTCATATAAATCCCTATCCACTGGTCACTCCATTTTCTCAGAAAAGAAATGTGAAAAGTTGAAAGAGGGAGAGAGAGAGAGACAGAAACTCACAAAAAAGGAAGCTTTAATATGCCCCTTGTTCTATATTAGATTTTTATCATGTTCTAAAAGAGATACTTTTCTTGCGTACTTGTGGTCAAGCAGGTGTTCATGCTGTAAGGACCCACTGGCTATCCTATCAAGCGACACGAAGCGATGGGCTGAAAGGTTAAAACCTAAGAAGCCATATTTCTCTTTAGTATTGGACATAAACTTCATGGTCTAATCACTTCGATGCTTTGAATTTTCTTTTGTAGGAACCAGAAACAAATATTATATTAATTCCAAGCACTAAGCTTAGTGATGGAAAATCGTTGCTTTGGAATCACAAAACCCTTTGTTGTCATCTTCATGATTTTTAAATCTCTTTTTGGTCCATCATGTCAGGTATTTCCTTTTTAAATTAATGTTTATCCTTTGCTACATGCTACACCATAATCAAAATGCATGTTATATGCCTCGCCACAAAGTGTTATCTAATCGTGGCCTTCAAAAGTAGCCGACCAACAGAAACTCAAAAACTCATATTATTGGTGATAACATGTGATTTGTGTCCTCAATCGCAGAAACCCATTGGCTGTATTTTCCTTTTTTTCCTTTCCTGTCTTTTTTAATTCTTATGTAAATATTACGAATCAGGGGCAATAACTTGCTAATGGTCTTTTTCTTACCTAATCAGGAAGTGTTCCTTAATAGTTGGTCTTCCGTTTGGTCAATGGAGTCATCATTATAGATCTGGCTTCCATTTTCTTATGTAAGAAACAATGTCATAATATTGGCAAAATGTTCCGTAGACACATCTAATCCGAACCTCACTTAAAATAAGATGTAGTGCTTAGAAGTAACGATATCCTGTAAAGTTAGAGATAAGATGTTTGATTAATGACTCCATTTGTTGGATGAACAAGAAGCTGAGTCCAGCTAGAACCCAGTTCTTAACTACATCATATTATGCTTTTTATTTAAAGCAATTTGATTTGAAATAAGCTTTTAACTCTAATATTCTATCATGTTTTTCACTCTTCTTATATTGTAGTCTGATGTGACAACAATTTGGTCCTATTAAATGTATTCTAGTTTACCTGAAGTTTAATATAATAATGCCTAAGCTCGACTTTTTCATTCTGGCTAAAACGGTCCTTGTGGTGCAAATTAGTGCTTGATGATTTGGATGTTCAGCATTGAATATCAAGTTATCCTATCATAAAAATGTGTAATCCCATTCTTGACAATATCTGGAAGCTTATGTTTCGTTATTCCCCAGCACAGACGCGTGGATAACCCCATGATTGAAAAGATTTAATGTCAATCATAAATCTTTAGGGGTACTTTTGGAAGGGGACTGTGCATTCGCACAAAATGTGGTGTTCCAAATCCGACATGATAGGCACACAGTGAAGCATTCAAAACTTTTTTGTTTCCAATTTTTTATATAGGAGGAATGGCGGAAAGGGAAAAAAAAGTTTAACATAGAGCACCTTATCCCAACTTGTAACATTTTAATTTTCATGGAGGAAGACAGATGTTTCTATTAGTTTATATATTTGCTTTCACCATCTGATTTCCACCCATAAAGGGGAATTTACTTTCTGCAGAAATTTTGTGACACTGTTTCATTTTCTTATCAAGGGGAGGCCGGCCATCATTTTCATTTGTAATGATGCTGATGACGATCCTGTTGTCGGGGAAAAACATGCATGGAATGAACTACGTGTCGATATGAGGGCAAATTAGCTCCGTGGAAATGGAGAGAGATTGGAAAGCATTGCAGAAATTAATCAAGTATGTGATAAGCCTTTATACTTATTTTTTTTGCTTTGTTTATTTATTTATTTTTTAGTTCTTCTAAATTTCCGTCGACAATTTTCTATCTAGATATTTTCATAATTACATCTACATTCATAATTGCATCTACATTTGACAAGGGATGAATCGACATTTTCATAGCATCATAAAAAATCTATAAAATATAATCTCGACATTTCTATCTATATCCACGTTTAAAATTGTTATGTTTAACCACTTTAAATTTCTGTTCATTTGGTTGCGATTGAGACGAACATTTCTTTACTCAGCATACTAAGTCTGAATTCATTGCATAGCACCGAAAGAATTTTAAGATTCCTTTTTGTTTTTTTCCCTTTATGTTATTCGGATTTTGTTGTGTGATTAAATGTGGGTCGAATAATCTAATTTTAATTGAAATAACAAATAGAGCAACCACCACCATTGTTATTTGCTGATTAAATATATGCTTTGGTTCTTAAATTATATACCATTTTTTATTTTCTAGTCTTTAATGTTTAAAAAAACTTCCAACTTAACAATATTATTAGAATTGAATGGACGGAATGATGGTACAAATATTTGAAGCGTCATGTGATATCGGATGGATCTTCTTACTTCTTATTAGGTGAGATAAAATTTGATTCTTAATTCATAAAGAGGTTAGTTTAATTTGACTTTAAATCAGGTTCAAGTAGAGTGAAATAGATGTTTAATATTTTGATTACCATTTACTCATAAAAACAATATTTTTTAAATATCACATTACATACCATTAGCTACTCCATAATCATTATTAAGGATATGATTTAAATTTTTTTAAACATATGTAGGATGAGAAATTGAAACTTTTGAGAACATCGAGGATGAGATGAAAGAATGATATATATATTTAGCCTTCTACTTTTACGTTTTTTATTTTTATTTTTATTTTTTTCTCTTCTACAGGATTTGTTTTGTGATATTATGATGTCTGAAATTTATTTAACCTCATCATGTGTATTCAGAAAGCAACAGTATTTTTACATGTGAAACTTGGCAGTGGCTTATAAAGGAGGATCAGGAACACAACACCTGGGAAGAGATATAGCTGAATTTCACCATATGCTTCAATTTTGTTTTGTGTTTCTGCTTTGAACATGATTGTTTAAGGTCATTAGTCTGTTTTGTTTTCTTGCTTTTGCATTGGATAATAATAATGAAAGTTGCATTGAATTAGCAGGTCAGAAAAAGCTGTGAGAGAGCCTCGAATCTGCCATGAATTGGAAGCTACGCCTTCAATTCCTATGGCCCTGCAGTGTCTCTATAAACTGGAGAAAATGGCTGTGTGAACCCATAATTTTGTGCCCCTTTCCAAGTGGGGAGCTGTGAATCAAACTGTCTATGGAAATAATAATTACCATTCATATTAGGCTAAGTTCAACATTTTGTATATATAAATTATAGGTTAAGTAGATCTCTGGCTTTGTTATAAAGATTGTGTTAGATCTCCTGGTGATGTTTCGAAAATTGTAATCCTCCTTTCGTTATCGGGTTGTGTTGTGTTTTAGCCTCGAGTTTAAGCTGTTGACTATTTTTAAGTAGGATGGTAGTGAGTTGGATATGTTACAAAATTAAAATAGGTTAAAATACTATTTTGGTTTATGTGCTTTCAATATTGGTTCATTTTAGTCCATATATTTTAAAAATGTTCATTTTTTTAGTACAACATGTGGGGATGGGTGATCGAACTCACAACCTCTTGGTTGGAGATATATTTCAATTACCGTTAAGCTATACCCACTTTAGTTTTGAAAATGTTTATTTTGGTCTCTATATTTTTAACTTTGGTTCATTCTAATACATATACTTTGAAAACGTTAATTTTGGTCATTGTACTTTTAAAAAGTGATCATTTTAGTTATATTTGCAAAATTTTAACACAAATTTTACACATAATAGAAACTCTTTAGTATAAATTAATATTTGTATTTTAAAACTTATATTGATTGTAATGTTGTGTTGAAATTATGATAGAAAAAAATAAGATTAAAAATAAAATGGGAGGACCAAAATGATAACTTTATAAAAGTACAGAGACCAAAAATGAATAAAAACTTAGAGTTTAAGGACTAAACTAGTATTTTAACCTATACCATACGACTTTTTAATATCATGCTTTTTTTTTTGGGTGAGAATTTGATCCAAAAATTTTAGAACCATGCTATATGCTTCATTGATTAATGATTGAATTATATATATTTAGTGTATGACATGCCTTTTAAAGTGTATTTAGTGGACTAAAAGTGTTTCTTAAAAAAAAAAAAAATAAATTGGTAGTGTTGGTTAAAATTTTAAAGCTGTTAAAAGTGTGTGCATAGAAGTAGAAGGCCATTTTATAACCAAAACACAGAGAAATTGGAACCCTCTGAAGAAAATGTAAATTTGCATGTGATTAGGCATTTGTTTATACTCAAAACCTACATAAACATATTTTCTAAAGACAGTCAAAATTGGCTAATCTTTTGTTTAATGAATTCAAGTTACAAATTAATAAATAGAGTCTCCCAACTCTTTACACATTGAGGCAGGATCCTTCCTTAACGATTTGGTTTCGATTCTTCCTTTATTGATCCCATACATCTTGAATTGATAACATCAAAATTGGAGAGGGACCACAAATTTTTTTTATCTCTTCAAAAAATTACAAACAATATATAATTTTTTTAATTGTATCTTTTAAAATGGTCAAAAAGTATCTTATTCACATATTGGAAAACTTCATTTATTTTGTTTAGCCTAAGAATTAGATTGCTCTTATGTATCATAAAAAGAAAAAAAAAACAAAAAAATAAACCCAAAAGCTAGCTAAAGACAATAAAGATTGAGAATAGTTAAACATTTACAAATTCAAGTCTTTGAATTTCAATATTGTATCTATTTAACTTTTTCTACAAACGTTTCAAGTATGTTATTAAATTTTAGATATTTTTCTGCTCTTTACCATCATTAACACTATTCACGAAATGTTAATGTGATATATTTATTGAATTTTTTAGTCCAACATGGAAGGATGGAGATTCGAATCTCCGACCTATCCGTAATATATATCTCCACTAGTTAGACTATGCTCAAATCGACATGATGTATAATGACGTAGTAGTAACTATCGATTTTAAATATTATATAATGGAAGATTTATCTTCCCTTCCCTCAATCTCTCCACTTGTGGAAATGGTTAGCCAATTTAGAAATTGAGTCAATGAAGAAAATATGGGTAGTGTGTGGTTAATGGGAGACAGTGTAGAAGTAAATTTAATTAGGATTTGTTGTGCATTACTTTTTGTAATAAAATTTTTCCCACTTTGAGTTTTTTTATATAATAATTTAATAACTAAATCAAACCAAATAAATAATATTATTCTAATCCCAACTCAAACTGTCCCAAGTCAACGTTCAAAGATAATTTGCATTGCTGTCTCTACCCCCACGCATTACCAACTCCAAAACCCAACCCTCTAACGAGCAAGCCATGTTCAACTATTGGATGCATATTCGAAATTTAATTACAACGATATAAAACGAACATAATTCTAAAATTTATGGTGGTATCTATAATCGAAATTTTGAGTTTACCTCTTGTTCATAATAATGTTTATACTTGTACTATCACTTTGAAGGATAATGTTCATTCTTGAATTTAAACTTTTGATAGAGTTTGCTTCAGATTTATTTTCACGCCTGAATTGCTTTTATGTTCTAGCTCTAATATTTATATTTGTTTTCGTTATTGTTTTGTTGGAGTCGATCTTGTTTGTGTTTCTACTACACTTTTATTGTCAGGCCTCTTGATCTCAAGATACGGCACTCATCTTTTTCCTTATAATATATTCAACATTTGCATAATAATAATAATAATAAATAAATCCTACTAAACTCAAATTATGGTTGCACAATTAAAGTCTAAATTTAGTCGAGTCGTTGTAGAATGAGACAACTACATTATAATTGTTGGATGCATATTCCAAACGTATACCCCTAATAATCATTAGATGTTGTTAGGGATCTCACATCAATCGAGAGACTTAATAAAGTTCATAAAATACATCAGTTACTTCTTTCATAGTCAATTGATTTTGAGATAGAATTCAATAATATTAATATGACATCGGAACTCAACAAGCTCAAATGAACATTCGACCAAAATTGGTAGACCCAAAAGAACCACCATCTTGAATGACTAATAGTCGTCAATATTGCATTGTGGATAATAATTTATCTCTCTCTTTCTAGAACAAGTTCAAAGCATTCCACTAGGTGCGAGCCTACCTGTGTGTGGGTGCACCCGCCCTCACCCCACAATTTCTCCCACCTCTTTCTTCATCGGTTCTAATTTGTTGTGCTAATTTTTTTTAATTTAATTTGATTATAATATATAATTTTTAATTTACAAGGATTAAGTATTTGGGGATTATGGTTGCCACTTGCCGGCCACATAGGCGGTCGGGAGTTTGACCGCCGCACGTCCACTCAGCACGTGATTCGCCGGTCAAACCACCCCAAATTATTGGGGTCGCGACACGTGTCCACTCTTTCCCAAAGTAATCCCAGTGGATTCTCTTTTGATGATATCATCATGACATCATCACCTTCCATCCCATTGCATTGCAACGACATGTCGACTTATATCCAACTCCTAAAGAAAACCTTTTTAAATCTTTTTGTTCATCATTTAACACGTTAGTAAATTTCTTTAAAAGTTAGAGATTTTTACTCACCATTGAACATCTCTTTAGCGGAATAGGATGGAAAGTAATTTCTTAATTAGTTTAACCAAATTATTTGTCTACTCGTTCAAACGGTCTCTCTAAATTTTACCACATTTGAATTCTAAAAATAAAGTTTCATGTCATATTTCATTCATCAATGCTATACTGGCAAGGACTAAATATGGGTATAATTCAAAGTCTATATATATATAATTTTTTTTCACATACACCAAATATATAACTTAACATAACATTAAATATTTGAATACGGGAAGGAATAGATGAATCCTACCAGAAGTCCTCTCTGTGCCCTTGGAGTTTGGACTACTCCTAGATCATAAAAAAAGGTGTTCCTACATTGAATCGGAATCCGATGGCTGGTTGAGCTTAAACACTTGTTTCTTAGTCATCATAAGAGCAAAATGCAGGACTAGAATAAGGGGATCCACACCTTAACTTTGTTCTCTATCCCGTGGAATGGTTCAAGTACCTTAGAAATTAAATCGGACCCATGTCCTTTTATTTTGTCAAGAGTTAAATAGGAAGAAAGTAAATTTCTTGATCACATCATGACTCATTGACATTATTGAAAGAATCTATTTTTTCTGGTTATACATCATTATCATGTAGATATTGTTTTTGAAGAAAAAATGGGTAGAAAGGTTTGTTCTTTCAAGAAAATAATCTGTTAAATACAAATTTGGGAATTTTCAAAACATAAAAGTGTGCAACAACGAGAGCTGTATTAATTAGATGACAATTTTCAATAGATTTTAGTTGGGAAACTAAAGAAAGGGTTGAAAATTACCACCCAACAAAATCATAAAAATAAGTGGTGTTTATATCAATCTAATCAGCATTGTCAAATACAAAGAGAGACCAAAAAAAATTTAATGGCCAACAAAAATTTTAAATAGCTCATATTAATTCTTATAATATATATATATAGTTGGCCTAAGAAATACAAAGAATGGGTAAGAAAAAGATGATTTAATATGGTGAACGTAACTAAAATTTTAAAAAGTTAATATTAATTTAATCTTTATTAACCTATAAAATAGATTAACCGTGTCAAATCCAAGTTCAATTGGTGAAGACATATAACAAATAATTAAAAATCACACTTTATCCATTTCATTCAACGATTTTTTTAACTAAGAAGGAGTTGGTTCAAAATTATTGATTGACGTGCCTTCTTATCCTTTCAATTTTTATAATACAAAATTCTCAACTCATTTTAATCGAAGGGTCAATGATGTTTTTCTAGTTAATTAGCTTTTGTCAATTTATATGGGAAGAATCATCCCCTTCTTTTACTATTAAAAAAAAACGAAATTGCAAAGTCATTATTATCCCTCTTTTTTTACAATAAAGATAGAAGATTAAATTTTGACCTTTCTATGAAGAAAAGTCAGATGCATTAATCATTGAGTTATGTTCATGTTGGCGTCACTATTATCTCGTATTAAGTAAAGATTGAGAGAGAAAACGAAAGTAAGATAAAGTACGGTAAATAATTTTTAGTAAGTATATATCCAACCATTAAATCAACTATATTGGTAGGTAATTTTGAGCGGTACACCAAGTGGATAAGCCAATGACAAATTGGAAAAAAGCTATGGAGATAATTTAGTGGAGTTCTTAAGGCTTGTTTTGTATAAAGTACAAGAGAGGTTGTTGTCACAATTATAAGAGAAAAGAGGCAACAAACACAATTATATGCATCACACAACACTTATATAGAAAAGAAAAAAGAGGGCTAAGTTGCTCCAATTATTTGGCCATTGAAAACCACACACAAAAAATAAAGGGGCTCAAAATGGGGGGTTGACACATCACACTTATCTTGGGGAAGGGGAGAATAATATTGGAACAGCTTTGCTTTACAGACTTACTTGTTAAGAAAAAAGTTACGTTGCGATGAACATAGTTCAATTAGTTAAGGTATATAGTTTTGATCAACATATTAGAAGTTCGAATCTTCATTCATTATTGTCGACAAGCTTAAAAAAATAAGTTAAAACAGCCTATGCTTCAATAAGTAATACAAATTTTCTATAAATATCATTGATAAATAAATTTAGGGTGCGTTAGTGATCTAAAAACATAAATATAAAAACAATGGATTCAATGGAAACGGAGTTGTATTCTTTGTTTTCAAATATGTGTTTAGTAGCAAATTTGAAAATTGAATCTCAATTTAAAAAGAAACAAATTCAATAATGTTTTGTAATATATTGGTAAGTCGTTTTGATACCAACTATATATCTAGTTTAATTATTAATCAATTTATTGACATAAATGTTATAAATTTTGTTAGAATTATTATTTTATAATATTATATAATTTATAATATATTATATTTTACACGTTTTAGTTTTCACAAAAATAAAAGAAAAGAAAGAAAGAGGTTGTTTTCACAATTTCCACTATTTAGATTACAAATCCGAAAACAGTTTTCGAAAACACCTGTCAAATAAATATTAATTGAATTCATTTGATTTAGTAAATCTGAAAACATAAAACATGATCCGAGATCTCTGCCAGATAAATCATTTGAGATTTAAGTCGTCGTTAAGATATTAAAAAAAACAGTAAATAAAAAAGTCTATGCCTCAAAAAAGTAATACAAAGTTTTAGTAGATAAGTATTCACAAAACCCTTTTGCATGCCAGCTAAGAAGCAACCCTTTTTTTCTTCTTCTTTTTGCTTTGTTTTTCTAGTTTACCCTTCTGCCCAATCAAATATCAAGCTTTGGTTTCTTAATGCAACAATTAATTAAACAAGTTCATTCTCAACAACTAGTACAAGTCTTATTCAGTTAAGTGTGTATTGTTCTTTATTTAATCACTTCTTTTTTTCAAGTCTTTTGTCAGGTGAAAGTGGTTAGGCAATAATTCAAAGTCCAATTCTTAATTCAAACTTTATTTGCCAACCCTTTTCTCACCACATACACATTACTATATAAAATTATCTGATTAATTTATCTAATCTTACTTTTATCTCCTAATGGAATTCCTATCATTGGTGTTTAAGGCTATTATTTTGTATCTTTATGCCTCTATCTTGGTGCTTTTATTTAGGCTATATTACATTATAAGATAGATAATTATGATATTATAAGTTGATATATAAATAAGCACATCTGACTCTATAAATTAGTGAAAAAAAATTACAAACATGCAAGTGCTAGTGATTAAATTTTATTTGAAACACATAATATATATAGGCATATAGACGTTATATTTATTTGTTTTTTTTTAATTACAACTGCTAGAAAAAACATGAGCTCTTAATAATAGGAGGGGAAAATACACAAATCCCACTTAAACTACAATAATAGTAATTACACTACAATTGCACTCTATAAACTTTTAATTATAAAAATTAAACTTTCAAACTGATAAAATTAAAACCCTATTATTAACCGATTGAAATTTAGTGTTGGACGATAAATATTGGAAATGTAATAACAAATAACTTATGTAATAGATTTGTGAAGAAGGTGAAAATTGGAAGCCAATGAAAAAGCAAGAGAGAAAAAGATGACAAGAGACCAAAAGAGAGGCATGTGACTGTTAACTCTAACAAGGCAAAGAGACAAAGAAGGTGAGAACAAAAGAAGATGATGATTTTTCTTCAAAAGTTAGCACATTTTTTATTTTCTCACAAAATTCACCCAAAAGAGAAAATTGTAGGAGTTAGATTCCTTGTTTGGGGAGAGAAAAATATAAAAATTTGAGACAACAACTTAGCATTTGTTAGAGAGAGAAATTTCTTTCCTTTTGAAAAAATGAATTTTTATTTTATTTTATTTAGATAGGACATAGGAGCGTGCCGGAGAGAAAAACAAATTAAGAGGATTAGAGAGAATCACGATAGATATTAGGGACTAGGGAGAATATTCATCATAAATATAGTCCATTGAGATTGAGGCTATGCATTACTTCAGTGGGAAAACATTTAGTCCAAAAATAAGAAAGATAATAAGTTACCGACAATATATTTCACTTACGTACATTATAAATGAGGCGAAAATAAAATTTATAAATATAATTGTGAAATTATTTTATTGTAGTTAATAGGACTTTCTTTCTTTTAACTGTTTCTTTTTAGAGTCTTACCATTTAGTAAATCGAGGACTTTTGTATCGATTATAGCATTACAAATTACAAATATGAGAGTGAAAATTATTAATATTGCTCTAATGGACGAAAATTAATTCATCTTTTGGCCTTTTTATAATCAAAATAATAAATCGTCAAAGCGAGCATAATTCAACGAGTAATTGACATATATCTCCAACTAAGAAGATGCGAATTCGATTATCTACCCCCACAAATTGTACTAACAAGACAAAAAAATCAAAACAATAAATCATCTTCTTATTAAAAAAAAACAACAAATCATCTTTTTTCTAAATACAAATGCAGAAATAAATTATCTAAAAAGACGAGGAAAAAAAAAAAGAAAAAAAGGAAAAGAAGGGCATAATCAGCTTTGCTGGGAAAAACACCCAAATAATTGAAGCCGCGCCCGAAGCTCAGCCGACAAAGCGTCGCCGTTTAGCCAAATCGACTTCTAAGTTCTAACTGCGTCAAGACAAAAGGCGCTCCACTCATTTTCGAATACGTGTCCGCTTCCGAAACTGGTGGGCCCACTCGGATTTTTCTGACGAGAAACCATATAATTAACCGTACACACGCCCGCATAGTATCCATTATCCCCACTCCGTAACTTATCGCAGTACATATGGGGAAAATATCACGATACGATTATTTTATTTACGTTATCGTTTACTGTTACCGGGAAATGCAAGTCACCTTTTGACAAATTAAGGAAATTGGTTGCCGGTATTTTGTAGTACACTCGCCGTACCTGCACGCATGTAACCGTTTTATTAACTGCGCATCTACCGGAAATTGCCGGTTAATTTTCGGTTTTCCCCATTAAGCATTTTTCTTCGATAATTTAGGAAAATATAATACAAAATTTGTCTAATTATGGAGGTTTATAGAACACTAAGTAAAATTATCTGTAATATATATATATAGTTTACGTATGGGTTAGAAAATTCCAATTCTATCAAAAATCTGAATGTCATGTTTAGTAATAATTTGTACTTTTTTTGTTTAAATTTGAAAAGTATACTTTTATTAAAATGTTATTTTTCCCGACATTTTAAAACTCTTATAAAAGGATATTCTCAAATCTATCTATTTTTCAAATTTGACTCAGATTTCTAAGTATATTTCTCAAGTTAAATTATATTTTACTTCTAAATCTGATAAGTAAAACTGCTTCTTATATAAATATTTTTAATTGGTCCTATAGCCTGTTTTTTTTTTCCTTAACCCTGAATTATAGGTCTAACTCAAATGCGAAACGTGATTATTTTAGTATTTTTAAAGGTATAAAATTATTAATTATAAAATTGTCTGAAATTCCAAAATAACACAATTTATAGCCTTGCGTACAGAAACCTCTCAATAAATTCAATATCATCTTTAAAAATTATATTCTTCATTGTTCATTATTGTCTCTTCCATATATTCTTCTTTCGTGTAAAGGATGACGAGAGCGTGTCTTTTTTTTTTTTTTGGGTCCAAAGATTGATTCTTTTCGACAAAAGAGAGAGAAAAAGAAAGGAGAGTGGATAATTTTCTTATCAACCTTATTTTAATCATATTTAATCCTAATCATTTTTAATAGTATATTTTGATTATTAAACTTTGTAAAAAATTATTTTAATTTTGACATAAAATTTATGTATATTTTGTTGATACAAGATTATATAAGATGCACACACAAAATAATTGTACAATGATGTTAAACCTAACACTCTAATGCCTAGCTAAGTTAGATAAGAAAATTAGTTGATAATAACAAAAGTAATGTTCTAGAACGTACCTCTAATCTCACCTCTTGTTTATAGAAAAAATCTCATTTTTATTAGTTCGGATAGATCGGCTCGCCAAAAAGTGTGATAGTTAGATTTTGAGTTAAAATGCAACAGGAGAATTCTTAGATGTTTTTTAGTATAATAATTTGGGGATATGGAGATTGAATCTCCCTACTGTTGAGCTATGATGTAGAGTTTTTAGGTTTAAACGACTTAATATTATTACTAAACAGTCAAAATATTAGTGACTCTCTAGACAGATCGTGGGTTTGAATTCCACCCCACACTTTTAATGTTATTATAAAAAGGGCGAGTGATCAAAAGAGAGTTTATATATAATATTTCTTAAATGGTTGGGGTACTGAATAAACTCATCATAAAAAAATGGGAAAAAGGAGAAATTTACCATTATACCCTTGTGGGTGTCTATATAAACCCACTTGCCTTTTTTTGTTTCTCCACACACCCAAAATCAAAACCCACCTTGTGGTCACCAAAAAAAACTCCCTCTTCCTATTCCTCTTCCTCTGTTTCTCTCACAAACGCTTTCCAAAAACCATCTCTTTCAAGCTCAAAGAGCCATGCCTGAAGAAGCTCCTCCAAACACCAACACCACCGACCACTACAAACTCCTCGAGAAGAACAAGAAGAGCCTTCAATTCATTGAAGATGTCACTGCCAACGCCGACCAAGTCCAGCGCCGCGTCCTCGCCGAAATCCTCTCCCGCAATGCTGGCGTCGAGTACCTCCGCCGCCACGGCCTCCCCGCCCACGCCGATCGCGACACCTTCAAAAACACCCTCCCGGTCATCTCCTACGAGGACATTCAGCCCGACATCAACCGCATCGCCAATGGCGACTCCTCTCCCATCCTCTGCTCTTCCCCCATTTCCGAGTTCCTCACCAGGTACTTCCTCCAATACCAATGCATAAGTTTTTGGATTTGAACGGTGGTTTATTCATAGATGCAATGTTATTCCATTCCATTTATTTGGTCTTGTAATAATTTTTCAGGCCCACAAAATTTAACCAACTCATCCGTTTAAACTTTTGGACCGAGTGATGTTTTATCCATCATCTACATCTTTTTCTCTCTTTTCCTTACATGGGTCTCTGCTTTTGCAGCTCGGGGACGTCGGGAGGGGAGCGAAAGCTGATGCCGACGATCGAGGAGGAGCTGGAGAGGAGATCATTGCTGTACAGCCTGCTGATGCCGGTGATGAGCCAATTCGTGGGAGGGCTAGAGAAGGGCAAAGGAATGTACTTCCTGTTCGTGAAATCAGAGGCCAAAACGCCGAGTGGGCTATTGGCGCGCCCTGTTCTCACAAGCTACTACAAAAGCCCCCATTTTAAGCACCGCCCATTGGACCCTTACACTAACTACACGAGCCCCAACGAGGCCATCCTCTGCCCCGACTCCTTCCAGAGCATGTACACTCAGATGCTCTGCGGCCTTCTCGAACGCGAACAAGTCCTCCGCCTCGGCGCCGTCTTCGCCTCCGGCTTCATCCGCGCCCTCCGCTTCCTCCAAAACCACTTCCCCCTCCTCTGCCACGACCTCCGCACCGGCACCCTCAACCCGCAGATCACCGATCACCCCCTCCGCGAATCCCTCCGCCGGATCCTCCTCAAACCCGACCCGAAACTGGCGGACCTCGTGGAGTCCGAGTGCAGCAAGAAGTCGTGGCAGGGGATTATTACCCGCCTCTGGCCCAACACCAAGTATGTGGATGTTATTGTGACGGGGACAATGTCGCAGTATATTCCGACGCTGGATTATTACAGCAACGGCCTGCCGCTGGTCTGCACCATGTATGCTTCCTCCGAGTGCTATTTTGGGGTTAATTTGAATCCTCTGTGTAAGCCCTCTGAGGTTTCTTATACGCTGATTCCCACAATGGCCTATTTCGAGTTCCTCCCTGTCGATAGAAACATGTCCTTGAATGACAACGACTTGCACCGCCAGCTCGTCGACCTCGCCGATGTTCGGCTTGGACACGACTACGAGCTGGTTGTTACAACCTATGCAGGTATGGAGTTTTCTTAAAGAAAAATTTAAGAATCTATTAGACACATAAATTGAAAATGATTATGAGCACTCTAATCCATGTACAGGATTGTACCGGTATAGAGTGGGGGACGTTCTACGAGTCGCGGGGTTCAAGAACAATGCGCCGCAGTTCAACTTCATATGCAGGAAAAACGTGGTGTTGAGCATAGATTCGGATAAGACAGACGAGGTGGAGCTTCAAAACGCTATGAAAAACGCAGTGAGTCAGCACCTAATGCCGTTCGATGCGAGAGTGAGCGAGTACACGAGCTGTGTGAGCACCTCAAAAATCCCTGGTCACTACGTCATGTATTGGGAGCTGACTGTGAACGGAGCCACACCGATCCCACCCTCCATCTTTGAGGACTGTTGCTTGACAATTGAGGAGTCTCTCAACAGCGTGTACCGTCAGGGTCGGGTCTCGGATAAGTCGATCGGGGCACTCGAGATCAAGGTGGTCGAGGCGGGGACGTTCGACAAGCTCATGGACTATGCCATCAGCCTAGGGGCATCAATAAACCAGTATAAGACACCAAGATGTGTGAAGTATGAACCCATCATTCAGCTATTGAACTCAAGGGTTGTGTCAAATTACTTCAGCCCCAAGTGCCCAAAATGGGTTCCAGGTCATAAGCAATGGAATTGAATTGGAATTTGGAAAGGACATTTTTAGGGTTACTTTTTTCATGGAGGTCCTCACAAAATAATTTAACTTGTCAATTTATCTAGGGAAAAATTTAATCACCCTAGATCTCTCTCTCTCTCTTTTTTTGTTTAGAACTCATGTTTCTTAATTAGCTTCTCTAATCTTGTTCTTCTGTATCCTTTCTGAAAATTTTAGCAAGCTGTTGGAAATGGGTAGACTTTGAACTAGACCAATGTACAAAAACAGTTCTTGTTCATGCAAGTAATCTTCTTCTTCTTTTTTTCTCTCCTAAATTTTCCTTAGATAACAAATTTGGTCTTTTTGATTTGGGTATGGTTTAAATTTTAGTCCAATTTAGCCCCTATGATTCGAGCATTTTTTTTTTAATTTGGCCTATATGATATCTATTTGGCTAAGTATGTTAATTGAATATTATTATAATTTAGGAGTGACAAAAAAGAAAAGAAATGAATGAGTGTAAAAATATATATACTTTAGGGAGAATGTGTGAGAGTTAATTATAATTAACTTTTTCTATTTGCACTCACAGTTATAATGCCTTTTAAGTTATTAAATCAAAGGTTGGAAAAACTTGGATTTATATAATCTTTGTTTGGATTCTATAAAAGATCGGGTCACATAAATTTGGAATTTGTGTTATAATTGATGTTTGATGGATATAGGATTTTAAAAAGATATATCATATGGTATAAAAGGAAGGTTTTAGGTAAATTTGAATTTACAAAKTCAGGTTAAATTTAGGACAAACAGATTCACATGTAAAAGGGTGGTTCAACCTTCTAATTTCCACGTACACGAATTTAACTCATGAGTCAAATACATTCCAAGAAATTAGAAATTCAAGATGATTTGTGTGGTATATGTTAAAATTATAAAGTTTAAAAATTTATAATTTGTTACTTAAGAAGTGATTCTTAAGAATTTTTGTAGTATTTAAGTGCTAAGTCAAATTCCAATAACTCAATTCTTGAACCAAAACTTTGATTCATTTATTATACTTTTGATGGAGTAAAAACACCATCTGATCAAATTTTCAATTTAAATCCAAGAATCATTTATGAATTCACGATCAATAGTTAAAAGTTAACGGTTCTCCTTTATTTAGGGCTCGTATCAAATAGGTCCGTCAAATTGGAGATGGCCTTAAAATTAGGTGTTGAGACATTGTGCCAAATTATCTGTTTTTGTAGCTACATAACAAGCTTTGGAACGATTTAAACAAAACGGTTACGTGGGTTCCACTACTTCTCTATTAATATACAATTTTGTTTGAGATTGACTTATTCAGCTCAACTTCGGACTTATTTGAGATTCAGAGTGTTTATTTTTTCTATGCAAATCTTCTCTTGCATAGTTCGCTCCTTCCACCTGACTCGTTTGAGTGAAGACGTGACCGATCTTCAGTCAATTAAAGATAAACATTAAAACATGCCTCTATCTTTTTAATACTACAAACTAACTCTCGACGACTCCAAATAAAAACTTTAATTATCACGTTTTATTCATAGAACCAAAAGATTAAAGCAAAACCCAAGTGAAATCTCATGGGGTTTTATCCATATTTTCTTTTTCTTTTTCTCATACATGAAAAGGACAACAACTTTTTAGTTCATGCTGTTTGCCAATTACAATTTAAGTGAGTCAGTCTAAGAATAATTGTTTAGTGTTCAAAGCATAAAGTTGTTTTTTTTTTCCCTGAAGAAAGTGACTTCAAATATGGAACCTTGTGCATAAAGTTCATGATCCCTTAATCAAATGGAAAAATGAAAAGGATAATAGTTAATTATTAACTCCAAATTAGAATTTTCACTTTTTATGTTAAAAGTATAAATCTTATTTTGTTCTTTTCTGTTCAAGTTTATTTATTTTTGTCCCTAAATTTTTAAAATACTTATTTTAGACCATGAGATTTGGAAGAATATTATCATTGTGATTATTGTCATTATTTTACCCTCAAGTTATGCTAGTCTGCCTGATTTCAAATATAATATATGCCTATGTCGCCGCATTATATACTTTTAAAATCTTATCATTCACATGCTAATTTGAACATAACTTAATTGGTTAAGACATCTATCTCCGATTGAAAAGTCGTGAGTTCGAATTACCATCTTTACCTGTTGTACTCCAATAATAATGAGAACTTAAAATGGTTTATTTTTGTAAGTTTAAAAACGGAAATAAATATTTTGAAAGTTTAAATTTTTGTTTTTTTTGGGTAATTACACTTATCACAAGATTTATTATTTTCCAATGATTACAATGTTGTATCATGTTTTAAAAATTGATAATTATTATACCAATAGAAACCAAGATGTTATTTTGTGATAAAATTGTAACTCATTGTTTGTTTTCTTTTAAAAACTTTTGTATTGTCTTCATATGACAACATAGGCAATGATTCAAGGAAACCCCCAAAAAGTACTTTCTTTTGGAAAACCGTTTTTTAATCTCTGTTTACCTATTTTAAAAACTGATCCACCGGTCAAAAGTTTAAATTATTGTGCATACTGAAGTTAGTAATTAAAAGAAAAACCATTTATTTCAAAAAAAATTAAACAATCTAAAAGATCGGAGTTCGAATCCTCATCCAACATAAACAACTGATTTTATTTAATACAATAAAATTGTAGATTCACCCCTTATATCTACGTCGAATCCATAAAAATGCGAAGAAAACCAAACCGAGTGACATCTAATTCATTTTTAACTTGTATCCTAAGAGGTATTTTATTTACCAAATTAAAAAAAGTGGACAAGAATCATGAGCACTTACTTCCAAACCGTACGTACCACAATTGCAAAAAAGAAAAATAAAAAT